TTTAAGAGTTTTAGTCAAATGCTTTATAATATAGTATAGATTCTAATTATATTTTAGATTTTTTATAATTAAAATAAGAAGTCTATCCCGTATTTGATTATGTTTATCTATAATAAATTACACAAATTAAAAAACGAAACTTTTAATAAATTATACCTATACATATTTTACTTATAATCTTGATTTTTAAGAAATATACATCCATAAATAATACCTTATGTGTAACAAATCGAGTTTTCTGTTACATAATCTGTCGAAGATCTTGTAGGCGGTTGAAGAACAAACGGTAAAGTAGGAAAATCGAAGTCCGGCTCCTACTATAACAGTATGACTCATAATCTTATCTTTCTTTATCGTAATCCTATACGAAACAAACCTATAAATAGTCTGCAATTGCTGATATATTTGGGGGTTTTCAGAGACAAACAGAGAAGGAGAATCAGAGGTACGTTAAGTTCTCTATTTCGGTTTTGCATAAAGAACAAAACCCATTTGATCTTTTGTTTCTGATTATGCTTCTTCTTTGTTTTGCATGCTTTCACAGTAGATACAAATTTGTAGTGTTGATTTCTTGTTCAAAGTATAATAATAACTAATGAATGGTTTTGATTCGCTGTTTGTATTAAGCAAAATTAAACTCCCTTTTGACATTAATGTAATAGATTCAGGTTTTCTTTATCAGGGATTCTTACTTCATCTTTTTTAGATCATAAAATCTGGTACCGTATTTTTGTAAGAAGAATAATAATTGTTGCAAGTGTTGAAGTCGTGTTATTTTTGTTCATATCCTTGATTATTAAGCTATTTTCATAAAAGATTAAAGTAGTTGGATTTTGCATGTGAAGTGTTTGATGATATGATCAACTGAATTTAGGTTTATTTACGTAGCTTGAATGGTTTTGGCATGCCCCTTGGGTGATCATGAATCCTTTTCCCCTTTTGATGGTGATCTTGGTGCACCATTGTTTTGAAGAGTGTTCATGAATGTAGTGCTTTTTATAGAAGTTCCATTACAGATTTCTCTTTTATATTTATGAATTTATCTTCAATATTCATCGACCAGAAGTCACAAGATGGAAGGAGATGTTGCTGTGCTGGATAAAACCAAGTTCACAGAATGCTATCGAACAGTTTGGCGTACACCTTACATAATGAGGCTTGCTTTTAGTGCTGGCATTGGAGGGCTCTTATTTGGCTATGACACTGGTAAATTTTCTGTTAATGTTCTTGTTCTTGTCTTTCAAGAATTTTTAATATGTTTATGTTGATGGATTTATTCCCCAAAAACAGGTGTTATTTCGGGTGCTTTACTCTACATTCGTGATGATTTCAAAGATGTTCAAAAGCATACATGGTTGCAGGTAAGTTAACATACACTCTGATTATCCAATGTAAAACACCAATCCTCCTGTTTGTTTTTTGAGGTCAAATTAGCATTTGTTATAGTGTGCAACCCTAAACCCTTTTAAAGAAAAACTGAAGAATCCATTTGAAATTGAAAGTTTCTTCTATTGGCTTCAGAAATCAGACTATGACTTCTTGTTGTTGCATTTCAAAGATTCATTGCATATGAGGACCATTTGGCATATATAACTTATGTTTCCCTTTTCTGAAACAAATTTGAAGGAAACCATTGTTAGCATGGCCGTCGCTGGAGCTATTATTGGTGCTGCTTTTGGTGGATGGATGAACGACAAGTTTGGGCGGAAAAAATCCATTATGTCGGCCGATGTTGTGTTCTTATGTGGTGCAATCATCATGGCTTCTGCTCCGAACCCATGGATCATAATCGTCGGTAGACTTTTCATTGGTTTGGGTGTTGGAATGGCCTCCATGACTGCACCTTTATACATCTCTGAAGCCTCTCCTGCTAGAATTCGAGGCGCGCTTGTGAGCACAAATGGTTTACTTATTACAGGAGGACAGTTTTTATCATACCTTATTAATTTAGCATTTACCAAGGTAACATAACACTATGTAAAATCTTGAAATTTTTCAAGAAATCTTGTTTTTCTTTAAGATTAGATTGGTGTTTCTTTTTTGGGTTAACAATGAGTTTGTTTCAGGCACCTGGAACGTGGCGCTGGATGCTTGGAGTTGCAGGCATTCCGCCAATTATTCAGTTTGTTTTGATGTGGTTTCTTCCTGAATCTCCAAGATGGCTTTATAGACAGGTAATTTAGCCACCAAAGAAGTTTTCAAAAGCATATTTATTTTGTTAACCATACATGACTTTGCTCAAATACATAATAGGGGTTCAAGTTGAATCCTATGGGAGACGGGTTATGACTTTGCTCAAATACACAATAGGGGTTCAAGTTGAATCCTACGGGAGACGGGTGTGAACCCTCTTACTGGCCTCAGCTGCTGACTCACTCCGAGATGCCTCCTCACATGTGGTTCCTAGAGGACGGCTTCTGTGTGGACCCGGTCAGGGTTCCTACGGGGTGGTAATCAACTTTTTACTCAAATATAGACCTCAACTATTTTTCTTCGATATATGTTGGAACCTCCATTATCTTCTTAAGGAGCTCTATTGAAGAGTAATTAATGGGTTCTATATATTCTCACTTTATCTTATTGTTGATCAAATATACAGAACAAGGTACTAGAAGCAAGAAATATCTTGGAGAAGATCTATCCTACTGATGAAGTGGAAAAAGAAATGAAAGCATTGCAGTCATCCATTGAAGACGAAAAGCAAAGTGAAGACGCCACGGGATGTGGCATGTTTTCGAAACTTAGGAACGCATGGCGGAACAAGGTGGTCCGTCGGGGACTTTATGCCGGAATCACCGTCCAAGTCGCCCAACAATTCGTTGGAATCAACACCGTTATGTACTACAGCCCGGTCATCGTGCAACTCGCCGGATACGCCTCTAACAGAACAGCTTTAGCTCTGTCATTGATCACTGCAGGCCTCAACTCTCTCGGCACCATCATTAGCATGCTGTTCGTTGATCGGTGTGGGAGACGGAGATTCATGATCGTCTCGATGTTCGGAATCATTACTTGCCTCGTTGTCCTAGCAGCCATGTTCTTCCAAGCTTCGGTCCATTCTCCTCCCGTAAGCATTATGGAGTCGAATCATTTCGGGGTTAACTCTACTTGTTCGAATTTCAGAAATACTCCGAATCCCACATCCTGGGACTGCATGACTTGCTTGAAAGCATCTTCTGGTTGTGGCTTCTGTGCCAATGGAGCAAATATAGTAAGTCCATCGATCTCCAACAATCAAGTTTTTAAGAACCAATTTTAACTAATTGGTTTACGTATATTCGTTTCCAATATAAAACTTCTTGAACAAAATACTTGTAAAACACATAGACGTGAAACAATACCTTAAATTCTATCATCAACCAAGTTCTTTGGAAACAATATCCTAAGATTGGTTGTGGTTTATATATTATATGGGTGAAATTCAGGTGAAAACCACAAAAGATAGAAAAGTGAGGAATACTTGTTAAACATTTTATATGTAAATCCCATACAAATAATTTGTAAGTAATTTTTTAAAGTATCTTCGGTTACTTGTCATACTGATGAGTAATTAAGGAAGAATATTTTTTTGTGTTTTTCCCGGAACCTCATTTTATACACACACATATATATATATATATATGCATATATAGGATTAGGTTCACGTGATACTAAGGGTTTTTCATGAGATCCGTAAGACCAATTTATGTTCATTGATCAACTTTATAAGCTAATGATCTAATGGTCTAAAGTTGCACGGTGGCAATTTTGTGATTATTGAGTGACAATTTTGAGATTATGATCTAATCCAAAGGTTGATAATTGGTCTTACTTGTATCATGTAAAACCCTTGGTGTCACATGATCCCAAGTCTATATATATATATATATATATATATATATATAGTTTCAAACGAAAAGATTACATGACTAATCATATATGATTACATGTTTGCATCCATATATAATCACGTATGATCTTGTCCTCCTTATATATATTTGGCACTGATAATCTGTACAATAATTAAACAGTATAATCCTGGTGCTTGTTTGGCAATGGACGACATTACTCGAGGATCTTGTCGAGCTGAACATCGGAGTTGGTACACAAAGGGTTGTCCAAGCAAATTTGGAATATTCGCGATTTTACTTCTGGCATTATACATAATCTCATACGCACCTGGGATGGGAACCGTGCCATGGATCGTCAACTCGGAGATATACCCATTAAAATATCGGGGATTAGGTGGCGGTGTGGCGGCGGTTGCTAATTGGACGTCCAATCTGATCGTGAGCCAAACTTTTCTGACGTTGACGGAGACGCTGGGGACCGCCGGAACTTTTCTTCTGTTTGCGGGGTTTTCGGTGGTGGGATTGGTGGCGATCTTCTTTCTGGTGCCGGAGACGAAAGGGTTGCAGTTTGAAGAAGTGGAGAAGATGCTGGATAAGGGATATCGACCTGACTTATGTTGCAACACCAAACCTGATGCTTAGTTTTTTCCATTTTTTATTTTTTTAATTCTTGCTTTTTTTTATACTACTAAACATTAGTTTTGAGTTAATTTTTTTAAAAAAATGTTATTTTAGGAGTATTATTTAACAATATTTTTAAAAAGATGAAATACAGATCATTATATATCATATGATTCTCTATTTTATTAATGAAATCCTGCTTCCCATCATTAACAACACACTTCTCCACTAGCCATGATAATGACTCTCTTACTTTTGTTTTAAAAAGAGTCATATTTCCTTTGGTAATATTAAATACATATTAAAAGTATCCATCTATGAATTTTTTGGAACAGCCTTCCGGATAATTAAGCGGATATTTAATAAGAGATATTAAGGGGCTGTTTGGCAGTTGCTGAATGATTTTGTTCAGAATGGTTAAGTGGTCAGAATGGTTAAGAGGGTCAGAATGGTTAAGTGCTGAATGAAATATGGTTGTTTGGTAAATGTTATCTGAATGACAATAAATTACCATTTTAATCCTCTATATGATTTAGTACTGAATGAAATATAGTTGTTTGGCAGATATCTGAATAAAACAATTACTTTRCAAATATAACTGCGTATTTCATATTAATTTAAACAAACACTAGTACAAAACAAGATTTTTCATATTAATCAAACCAATACATCATCTACTTAAAAATCTCCCAAAAGGGTTTACATCTATAAAAAAGATAGCTCTATCTTTCAGCAAAACCAAAATCCCACAATCTTTTTCATATGGGTTCTTCAAGAAAATCAAAGAATCACTGAAAGAATCAACTAGTTCATCCAAAATCAACCCCTAAAGAAAAGTCAACAACCATAAACACCCAAGAACACACCACCTACTGAAATCTCAAGTTGGTTAAATCTATAAATCAAGATTCAGATTCAATCACCAAAAGTAATCCCGTTAAACATATAGCATTGATGATGATCAAAATCCCATTAAACATATAACATTGATGATTAAAAAAAAATTAGAGAGAAAAACTTACCAACATGCAACAGGCAACAGGCGAAAGGAGGCAGAAGGAGGAACGAGCAGAAGAAGGAACGAGTAGTAGGAAGGAGGCGAGATCGACACAGCAGACTGGGAGGCAGCAACTCGTGGGAGGCGACACAACCTCAACTCGTGGGAGGCGGCAACTCGTGGGAGGCGACAGAGCCTCAACTCGTGGGAGGCGGTAACTAATGGGACCAGATCRATCGACACAGCAGCAACTAATAGGAGGCAAGATCGATCAGAAGAAGGAAGGAGGAAGGAGGAAGAAGGAAGAAGGAAGAAGGAAGGGGGGAGAAGACGGTTCATGATGTTTCAAGAAGGAGATGGGGGGAGAAGACGAGAAGACGGTGATGATTTGGGAAAGGAGGGCATAGTTGGAAAAATGAACCTCTTAATGGTTTAGTGAGGTATAGGATGCAAAATGGTTAAGAGCCAATTGTCACCATTAAGAGGTTTTATTTTTTTTGCCAAACAGCCTCTGCCTCTTAGCGATTAAGAGGCTGCCTCTTAATGTCACCATTAAGAGGCAAACAAACAGCCCCTAAGCCATAATTAATGATAATGAAAACAAAAGAAACTGTTCGATTTTTTATATTATACTAGTTGTGTATCTGTGCAATGCAACGAGAGCCATGAATTTTAACGTTTTTGAAGTTTCACTGGTTTTATTAGAGAAGATTTAACGATGATATAAGTTACACTCGGTTTTTACATAATAATACAATTTGAATAAACAAAAGTTATGATTCTAATTAAATTTATTGATGAAAAAAGTTGTATGGCGGTTTAAAATCCAATATATTTAAAATCCAACATATTTAAACGACTCCACAAATGTGTTCGATTTATACCAAGAGCAAAGAATCAAGAGATCGAGAGCGAGACCGAGAGTTATAGAGCAATTGAATAAGAGATGAATGAAAGAACTTTTGATAACTCATGGTGAATATCGGTTTGAATCTCACCTTGGGGGATGAGAAGAAGATACAGAGGTATGAGAGGGTGAAAGCATGAGTGAAATGTATCAAAAGTATCTTAGAAACATGAAAAGAAAATGTAATAATGTACATTGATAACTTGTACTATATGTTATTTTAATTGTAAATTAAGATATTTTAAAACTAAATGCATAAAGTAGTAGTACTTAATGCATTATGAGTTATTTTTAAGACTTTTAAGACTTTGTGTATAGATGTATAGTACTTTGTGAATTAAAAATTATTTTTAAGACTTTTGATAAATTTGGTTTATAAGGTGGTATAAATAAGTTCATTTTCTCAAAAGCTCAAATTTTAATTTCATGTCATTTTCATTCATCTGTCTGAACCAAACACACACTAAATCAATCAAAAGTTTCTAATAAATATGTTGTATTTTTTTTTTCATTTTAAGCGTAAAGATTTTTTAAATGACATTTAATTTAATTAAATTGAAAAAAGAAGTGATTATAAAACAAAAAATGAGAATAGAGTTTTCATGTAAAAAATTTTAACTAAAAAATAACACAAGTTTTTAATTAATTTTGTTATATAAAGTAGGAGAAAGCAAAAGGCATTTCATATCAATTATCATTTAATAAACATAATTTAATTTGAATAATAATTAATAAGATTTTGTTCAAAATAATTAGGATGATTTGAAGGCATACAAAACACCCGTGGTGGTGGCCCGCCATAAAGCAGAGGATGCGGTACTTATATGCCGCCGGTGACACCACCAACCTCAGCTTCATCTTCGTTCATCTCTCTCTCTCTCTCCGGTGATGAATTTCCGGCATTTCTAACCAGTCCTTGCAGATATTGAAATTTTCATTCCGGCAAACTATTGGTTGATTCTGGATAGGTATACGCAAGCTTTAATCAGTTTCAACTGAAAATGCTGTGCAGAAGAAACTCAACAAAGTGCCGGAAGGATGGATCGGTGCCGGTATATCTCAATGTATACGATCTCACCTCCATGAATGGCTACGCTTATTGGCTCGGCCTCGGTGTCTATCACTCCGGCGTGCAAGGTTTGATTTGCACGACCTTTTTTTCTCCGATTAGAATCTAATTAATCAAAACAGTCGATAGGAGATCTTAGCGAAGTAGTTGATCTGATCAGGAATCTAATAACTTTAAATGATCGTTTGTTTTTTCAATTTTTCTGATTTTAGTTCATGGAGTTGAGTATGCGTTTGGATCTCATGAAAATGCGACGACTGGAATCATCGAAGGAGAACCGAAGGAATGGAAAGGATTCACGTTCAGGAAGCAGATTCTGATCGGATGGACTGAGACGAATCTGAGAGAGGTAAGAAGAGTCATGGACGAGCTTGCAGAAGATTACAAAGGAATCTCATACAATCTTATCACCAAAAACTGCAACCACTTTTGCAACGATATCTGTGTTAGACTCACCGGAAAGCCGATCCCTAGTTGGATTAATCGGCTCGCCAGAATCGGTAAGCTAACTTCTTAAATTTCATCGCGACATTTTCGGATAACAATAAAATCGTCACAACCATTAAGATCTGAAGGTTTTTCTGGTGATAATACAGGTTTTTTGTGCAATTGTATAATTCCGGCGAGTATAAGTTCAACTAAAGTCGGAATCGAAGATAACAAAGTGTACACCGAAGGAGAAATGAAGAAGCTGAGGAGCCGTTCAGGTAGGTTCACCTCGTCGTCTTCGTGTTGTTCACCGTCTTCTGATAAATCGTTATCTTCGTTGACATCACCTTCGGTTGGTCGGAGCAAAAGTCATAGAATCACAACTTCTCTCCCTCCACCTTCACCTCCACCTTTGATTCTAGATTCTCCTAAATCCTAGCAGCTTTTTTAATGCTATCTTTCTGTAATCGAAGTGTTCTTCCTTCAATTTTTTTCCTTCTTTCAAGTTTTTGATTGATTTATGGATCATCATCGATCGATCTCTATGATCTGGTGATGGTGGCATATACACCATTTTCTCCTCACAAAAGGCTTTCTAATTGTGTGTAATTATCATCCATTGCAACTGTGTCACCTAACAAGTGTTGAACCTTCAATACATTTGGAAGAATGATTTACATTGAAACTATTGATTCATATTTGCTCTACTCTCTTGGTAATCCTTGTTCAAATTTATTTGTAATTCATAGATTACCATAAAAACCTATTGGTTTTGATTACTAATGACTAATTTGTGTCAAACCAAAACAGTTAATATGTGAATCAACTGTATCAACTAAATTGGTATCAATTTAGTTTATATCAATTATAATTAGTTGATAGTATCATACCATATTGGAATTTAGAAGTCACGTGCCATTATAGTACCATGTTACCAACTTATTCAATTATTTATTAGTTTTTGTACTTTTTATGTATTAATATTAAATATTGTAGCTATAACTATTTTGTTAGCAAATTTGAATGTTTGCAAGTTTTATTCCTTGCGGTTAAAAACCCTTAAACATCATGTAAGTTACATGAAAACTCAAAATGTCACTCAAATTTGAACAAGTGGCAAGTTTTCACATATGTATTGGTACAAAACCAATATCAACATGTACCAACCAGAAAAATTTGGTTTCAATCAAATTAGTACCAAGTAGAGTAGATTGGTATACAATATAAAATTTTGTGTATCAATTATAGTTGGTTGGTATGCGATATTGGAGAAAAAAACATGGTATCGTTCCAAGTCCACCCTAGTTTTGATGGGTATATTGTTAGTGCACGCTTGGTTTGCGGGATTTAATAAAACTTGCAAAATTCTATGTTTGGTTTAAATGAAAGTTTGAAATTGAAATCTTGGGATTTCAAATAAGTCCTACAAAAATCTGAAATCTCAAGAGGAATTTGGTAGATTTTATAGAATTTGCGGATAATAATGTTTAAAACATGTTAAAAATATTTGTTTTAAAATAATTAATTAATAAAAAGTAATTTTAATAATTTTTTATATATTTTCTAAATTCTCAACAAGAAATGAAATTCATTGATTTCAAATCTTACAAATCAAAGATTTCAAATCGAGACTCTTTTAATTCAAAATCCCTTCCATGAAATCCAAATTTTATAATAACATTCATTGAAATTATTTGAAACCAAACACACTTTAAATATGTATATATAGACTTGGGATCACGTGAGACCAGTCTGTTTTCGTGAGACCACTTTTTTACACTTGAAACTTCATAGCAAAACACTGTGAAAGTTCGGCTTTCTTTTACCTTCACAACGTTTTGTTGTGAAGTTTCAAATGTAAAAAAAATGTTCTCATGGGTCTCACAAAAACAGACCGATGTTACGTAAATCCAACCATATATGTAAAATTTGATGTGAAACTCCATTATGCCCTTTCTTGGAGCAACATGTGGGAGTGTCGTTTGGGGTGGACATGATGCTAGGAATGAAAGGACAAGACTAGATTGTCTTTTACGTTGGCTCTCTTGGCATTTGATCAATGGTGTATGGTCATTTGCCATGGATTACTTTGGTCCCATTTAATGGGGGGGAAATAGATGAAAGTGAGACTTAAAATACAAACGAAAATTTCACTCTCTCTCTCTCTTTCAAAATTTTACTATAATGTTTATTTTATTTACTTTTCATCTTTAATTTAAGATTCGCTTATCAAACGTTTACTGGATAAGCACTTACTAGATGTCACTTACCTTATAAGTAACCATGATAAGGACCATGAATCCTCCCAAACAATAGACATAACAAGGATCGAGAATCTTACTTGTTAAGTGAAATAGAAGAATCTTACTCAGTAAGTGCTTATCGGGTAATAAACGCTTACCAACAATCCATTTTGATGGTCAATAGTGTTACCCCATAAGGTAAATGAGAGTGATGACTCTTGATGGTAAGCCTTGGTAAACGACCCATTACTTTCTAATATCCTCTCTCTCTCAAGAACAATGCATACGGTGTCTGTTTGAAAAAAAATATATTACAGAAGTATATTTATGGCTTATCTTTGTGTGTTTTCCGGTGCCCCGTCGGATCTCTAAAAAATTTAAGCATTTAGATCTTAATAAACTAAGCAATTAAAAAACATCTTGATCCAAGTAACGAGTGTAAAAAATATAGTTTCCCGAAGTTTATCATGTAAACTGTTGCAAAAACGGTTATGCATTTATCTGTAATCGAATTAAGAAAGTTTCTTTTCAGTTGTTTATGTTTTTAGATTACTGGAAATTCTGAAGATGCAATAAACACAGAACTTCGAGAGACGGATGAATACGTTACTGTTTCACAACATTTTCTGTAACAAACATTGAAAACCTATAACTTTTGACACGTAACTCTCTATTCGAGATAAAAAATCTGTGGTCGTTTATTTTTTAGATTTAAGTACTGAATTTTTTTTAGAGATCCACTTGGACACAAAAAAACCTAGAAAGAGACAAATGAATATAACCGTTTTACGACATTTTATGTGATAAACTTGAGCATACCACAACTTTTAAACTTGTAACTTGGATTAGGGGTTTTTTTTTAAGTTTTCTTTTTGAAATCTTACCACTTGAAAATTTTGATGATCCAAATAAATATGAAACAAGCACAAAGAAAAAATAAAAAATAAATGAACACATGAACAAGAAAATAAACAAACACAATCACATATAACTAAGTTTAAATATAAGTAATATAATTAATGGCAAATTGCATGATAAAATAACGTATTTTAACTTGGTACCTAAGATGTACAGTTTTAAACATTTAAGTAGTCGGTTGATGCTTCAACCGGTTACCATGCTGATGTGACAAGTGATGAGAACAAGATTTCTCAAGTCCTGTTTACCATAAAAAAGTGAGTAAAAGCATGGGGAGCAGAATCTATAAAAAAAATACCAAATGGAACCAACTCTTGTCGTTTAATATCTACTTGAACTCGCTACTACGAATATGATCCCCTCGACTATTTGGATCGTTTCGACCTGGGCACTTTCCAGATGACTATGAAACTTCACTCCAGAGAATTACCAGGCTCAAGTACGTGAGACTCTGGAAACCAATCTCATTGAGAAAATGAGCCATCTCCAAACTGTTGGAGTGCGTGCTCCGGATGTTGTTCGTACGGTGTGAAAGCAGTTGGTTACGTAGTTTTAGAATTCTGCTGATCCCAAGTAGTCCATCTCCATCATTGCATATGGCTATACAGAAAGTAAAGAGGAAAAGGCATGACCAGAAGAATTGTGTGAAATAAGTGAATTTATCCAGTTGAGGCATCTTGATTGAGAATAAARGATTCCCCCCATACAGAAGGAGAGGCCTTCCTGTACGAGTAGTGAAGAACTAAACGATAACTTTTGTTGGTTGTTGACCAACGGAAAGAAAGGGAGAAAGAAATGGGATTGTGTCAACCGGCCCCTATTCCGACGAAAAACAGCCCCTTTCCTTTTCGTTTAGCCTGCTCTTATTATCAAATAGAGATTTTTTCTCTCGATTGTTAATACGATATATAAGAACCGCTACACCAAAGAGTATTACACCCTTGATCGTGAAATATTCGATTGTTTGTTGAACCCCGTGAATTGTGTGAAAATAGGATACTCCAATAGTATATATATAAGTAATAACTTATTATTGTATCAAACATTAATTACCGTATTTCTCTCAAATATATTGTTTTTAATTAAAATAGAGGAAACAAGATATGATAAAATGAAAATTATAGCGATTTACAAAATAGAAGAGTGTATTTTTAGAAAAGTGCAATGTTAGGTATATTTTTTTAAAGATCGCAGCCGGAGCATAAAACCTGAAATTTCCAAATACAAATTCTTATAACTTTTGCTTCAAACTTGTTTGGTTGGTTTCAATTAAGTTCTACATGGATAAAACTGTCAGCTTCCTTATAAGCTTAATGAATAAGCCACTTCTTATATCATCAAACTACTACTAAACAACCATATATAACAAACATAATAAGTGGAGTCTCATTAAGCTCGTCAAGCTGTGAGTCTCATTAAGCTCGTTAGGCTACTAACAAACATGCCCTAACTTTTAACAAATTTTCACAATAAAATACAATCCATACAACAGATTTTGAACAAGATATCAATTCCAACAACACCTTCATTGGATATCTTATAAATAGAAACCTTTTTTTTCCCAATCCAGTCCCGCCACCACCGAGAACCCAAGTTACAAAGACGAGTTCACATTCAAGTCCTTTAAAAATATGACTTTAGGCTTGGGATTATGTAAGACCAACATATTTTCGTGAGGCCCTTGAAACCACAAAATAACAATGAAACTTCACATCAAAACACTATGAAAGTTTGTTTTTTACCATCACTGTGTTTTTTGTTGTAAATGTTCAGTGTGTTATTGTGCCTTCGTAGTTGGTCTCACGAAAACAAGTTGGTCTCAAAAGAATTCAATGTACTGACTTTAAATCCAGAAAAGTCTTAGGAAAACCTATTTCTAACTACTAGCAACAAGTCTTCACCCACTATTGGAAAAAGATGGGAAGAATGGATGTCATTCCATTAAGCAGGAGCAGGAGCAGGGACATAATAATAGCACATAATATAACAACATAACAAAATTATTTGATGGCAGAAGGTGGTACAGCTTTTCTTTCTAGCTTACCCACCATCTGAATCATTACTTTCCTCTTTTCATGCTTTTACCTTTGTAAGACTACCTGTACCCAGGTCCCACTATCAAATACCATCCAGCATAGGATTCTTTTGCTACCATATGCTACATCATTATTGCCATTTCAGTTAAGACATATGGGTATTGAATAAGCCTTTTTTAGTATCATCAAATCACTATCAAATAGTCATGTATAACTGACCGAATAAGCTGTGAGTCCCATAAAGCTCAAGTCCTCAGTTTGGATACTAAGACAAGAAGAGATGGAACGGAACAAAAACTTAGTGGCTTACTCTTTATGCAAAAAATTAGACTAAAAGAAAGACAAAACTGAGTGGGACAAAAATGCAAAGAAACTAGACAAAATAAGTAAATTACTAAACTACCCATGTCAAATTAAAATCTTAAACCTTTCCACAATTCTCTCACTTACGTACCTTACTCTCGCCAGTCCAATCCTGCACCCTTAAAGGCCAACAACATTAACCCATTGCTGAGTTGAGTAGACTACACCAAATGTTTGATGGGTCCCTTCAGTTAGTAAGCTGTATAGTTTTGGGAGCAGCAATGGTTTATTCTTACTCCATTTGTGTATAAAAAAACACAATTTGCCTCTATATTTTAAAAAGTACAAATTGTTCATAAAGGAAGGGGGAAATTAACATATGTGTTGTTTACTTGTTTCAGCAGAATCATGCACATTGATTGGGACGATAGAATTAATGAAGCATTCGAAGAAGTGATTTCCTTGGTGACAACACGAGTACCTGAACAAGAATTTGATGCCCGATAAAATTTGATCAACTCTGTTTTGACCTCACCCACTCGACAAAGTTGTCAAGGATCAACGGCCAAGCAAGTTCCTCATCATAATTGTTGAAATCTGGGAAACTTATCTGCAAAACACGAAAATTTTAATACCAAAGCATCTACAATAGATTCTTATTTTGAGAAAATGATGATTTTGGAGTTTTTAACGTATTTCTTTCTCCAACAAATCCTCCAAAGTAGAAGAGAGATGATAAAAAAATCTCCAAATTTAGAGAACTCTCGAGTATTATCGTTTCACTTGGAATTTATTTGATAATTTGTTGGGATATTAAATCTATTAAATATTTTAATAATATAATTGATGTCGATATCTCCAAAATGAGAAACTGTTGGGAGTTGGATTAATATTTTCTTTATGAAGATTCTAACTTTTGTTTCTCCATTTTGAAGAAATTTTAGAAAATCTGTCGGAGATTAGAAGCTAAATCTTCATATCAAACACAAATAATTACGAGATGCTTGAATTCTAGAATTCTTTTAAAAATCCATTAGCAAGAGAAACAATTGATCGAGGTTGGTGAATCACAAGAGAAAATGGTAAACGTATATCTGACTACCTCATTGCAAAATCTGTAGAACCCCATCCATTGATCCATGTTAATGACCTTGTAATCAATCTGTGTCTGCAAAATGGCCCAAAATTAGAATGTGTAATGGTTCATAATTTCATATCTGCTACTTATAGCTTCATTCTGATATTCATCCACCATCTCGTTTTTTAAGAGAGAGAGAGAGTGTGTGTGTGTATAGATATATGTATGGCAAAACTCAGACACACTGGTTTGAACCCTTGACCTCCATGGAGGTTGGGCTCTACTGGTAACCCGGGTATAGCTGGGCCAATGAGCCTTTGGTTTCATTCACCATCTTCTTGTTCTCTTATTTTCTTAATATCTTTGTGTTGGTTTTTGTGTGGATGGTGATGGCAAGGCTCACATTTCTTCATACATAATGGAAAACATGACAGTTTGGAATCATCAGACATATTAGCTGCTTAGGAACACAAGGGGTCTTCAGGCTCACCCTTAGATACTGAATGAACAAATCCACCTGATGAGGGAACTGCGACCCCAAAACAAGCTCCAACAATTCACATATGCTCTCAATATCTATACTCTTCTGCTTTTCCTCTACATAAATATAAAAACAATACTGATAAGCAATCGAATCTGAGAACCGAATAAGTTTCAGAGTTATATAACATTAGACTATAAGCTGCCAAAGGCTTACTATACCTGTTAGGCAATATCGAAATGCATAAGAGTAAAACTCCACATAATTTGATGGCCTGCGGACCTTTTAAAGGAATGAAATAGAACAAACAGTTAAGCAATCCAAACATACTTGTCATTATATGCAAAAAAACTTGCAAAAAAATGAAAACTAGCATGCTAAAATACCTCGTTCTCCAGCTCAGGAAGTGCCTTTTTTAATTTAACTATAGTATCCGCCCGTAATGCTTTAAGTCCTCTTCGCCACTCTTCCTGCAAAGAATACGCAAAAAGAACAGGAATTTTGAAGGTTATTACATCAGGACATTTCTTTTTAATTCTATGCTTTCATTTATCATCACCCATTTTTGCATTTTAACCATACTTTATTCTCAATGAGAAAAAGTGGAGTAAAGGAAAATGTAAAGAAATCTTGAAACAATATCATATATTACTAGACCATAATCAAATTAGAGAAGTGGAACAGTGACATCAGGAAAAAATTGTGGTATGGGCCTGGGGTCAATAAGTGCATAACAATTATCATAAGTTGCATGCATATGTTACATTTATATATCAGGTGAAACATAGAACGATGATGGCAGTGAGCTAATGCTGTGTCAAGAAACAAGATTTGTTTCATGTCATGCTACTATTTAGGTCCAAAATGCTAATTTATATTACCAGGGTGAAGTATCCCTGCCTTTCAGACTGCATTTTCCTGAAGATATCAACCAATCAGTAATGAAAGTGACACAATACACAATAATCATAAGGTGTTGTAGTCAAATGAAAATGGCTGCAATGGGACTTACCAAGCTAGCATTAATATTCGTACATTCGTATGTTCAACTTCTAGGTCAGAACAGAGATACTCTATTCCTTCTGGGCTGTTCACAGAAACATGAATGTATTAGAATGACAATCAAAAAAGAAGAAGCGAAGATTGACAACTCAAGCAAAGAGACTAGAGATTAATGCAGATTCTACTGCCACAAATGTAATCATCAAAATAAATAGATTACACTTACTCAATCATACCAGAAGAGTCATTTGCATATGAATAAAATAGCTGGTCAATACGTTCCAGCTCCTTGGTTGCAGCTTTACCTGAAGCTGAAGAAAAAGGTCAATTCCAGAAGTGAAACTCAACAAGGATTGAATATGACTTTGAGAAGAGTGGAGGGGAGGTTTTGGGATAGGAGAAACAATAATGGCTAGTTCAGCAACAAATACATTTCCTATCCAAGTCATGCTATGAACATACAAAGGAATCATGTATTTCATGTTTTATTACGTATTTACATTGCACAGGACCTGATTCTCAAAGAAGAAAGAAGCTACTCTCCCACATAGAATCGCTTCTAATTCTCGGTTGAGAATACATTCAAGTTCTGGATGCTAGATATATTCACCAACTTCTCATCTATCCAATCATGCTTAAACAAAGCATCCTTTTGTTGGTAGAGTAGAAATCACTCCACAGATGTGGCAATGGTGAAGGTAAGCCAATGTATCCCTGTTAATAAGGATATTATAGATCTACCTACTCTACACTTCTTTGCTACAAAGCACATCAGAAAAGTCACCCTTACCAGCTACTTATGTAGAATTCCTTAAAACCTTCATAAAGCAATGCCAAAAGATGCCTCCAGGGAGGCAGGGATCAATTAAAACACACAAGGGCAAACCGAAAGACATAACAAACCATGTACATGCACCCTTTGCAGAGCAGCTAGCTTATATAATTATATTAACTAAATCTCAATTAAGATTATATATCGTATTGTCTCTAATAGCAATTGTGGTTGCCTTGTATTGGGCTTACAAATTTTTTTTTTCTTGAAGATTGTCTCGATCAGATATCTATGGATCGCACAATTTATGAGCCCGAAAGTTTATTATCAAGAAACATAATCTTCATACAACAAACCTGGAAGAGGCGAAGAACTACTTTTTGCACAATGTTAAGGATAGATGTATTCATAGATGTTTAGAAGGGTGACCCATGTACCAAGGCTCCTTGGCTTCGAGAGGGTTGAGGATGGGAAGCAATTCCCCGACTCAAACATGTACGTTGCAGGCACAAAGGATTAAGAACCAGTTAATAGTTTGCCTCATGTTATCCATTTAGTTACACACATATAGCAGAAAAACTGCAAAAAGTTCATCCACATGCCCAAGAAACAGAATTCCAGCCCAAACCTTTTGCCACTGCAAAAGCAACGTCTCCCAATATTACTGTTTCTTGTATACGCTAAAGATTGGAACCAACACCACAACCCATAACTCAATCTTGTACATGGTTTAGTTTGTGTCAACATATACTAAATATGTGAATATACCCTGCTATGGTGCTACCCTCTAATATCTCCTCACCGATAATCTATATAAAACAAAATTTGATCTCATAAAACTTCACCGAACTTGATTCATATTTAACAGGAGACTCTTAAATATATTATACTTTTTCAAGTTAGTCTTGCTTACAAAATCATTGGATTCTAACATTCTTCATATCCTACCAATCATCTCAATCTTCACCCTCGTTTTCTTCAAACTAGGCAATAGCTATTCTTAAACAACCAAGAAATATGACACCATGTTTGATCGAACATTATCGAAATCTAGCTCCAAAGAAACGGCAAATATTTCTCAGATTACTAATACACAGGTACAGAAAGATTATCACATAATGTTCAGATTACAGACAAATAGTATGGTACAAAAGTATATATTTCAACTGGTGAATATCACTGCTACCCTTCTTCGACTAGAGATGCAAGTAAAATTCTATACCCCATCGTATCTTTGTGCAAATCTTCTTTCCAGTTATAGCAGGATGTTGATTTCACAAAAGCAGGCCTATTGTATGTTGAAATACCATTCCTATCCCTTACTGCTCAGTCAGCATAGAAAAGGGCAACTGAGCTCCCCGCTCCCCTTCTCAGATATATCAATTCAGTAACATGAATAGAATTAAGATATAAAAGTTTGGACAAAAAGATTAAAATTCTTCATGGTTATCTCATACTTCAGGTTGTAGGAGGGATCAGTAGCATGTATATTGTGATAAAATGACTATTTTTAAGGAATAGATTGGGCTTAAACCAGATGACTCTGATCAAATCTCAACAGAAGCCCAGCTCTATATTCGTCCGTTGGTTACCTATGGTTAGAATAATACTCTTTTTTCTTGTTACTTTGCACACAAGGGCAGTTATTTATGATGTGAGATATGGTCAGAATCAATATATGAACAACTGAACACAATAAATTCCTGTTCAAGAGAAACACATTAAATTTTGGGAAAATGAACGGGAGTTTTGAGCGAGTCTAGCTAGAATCTTCTACCAACGAAATTAACATTGATCCCTGCCAAAGCCTTTTTTCTATATCTATCCATACGTCTTTAAAATAAACTAAAATTATAATCGAAAAACAAAGCTCCATTAGCATTCATTTATAAGGCTATCATGGTTTTCTAAATTACCTCTAAGCTGGGGGACTGGCTAAGAATTGTGAAAACAGTAACATGCGCCTTGATTTTACTTGGAATCGAACGAAATCATCAAATCAAAGTAAAAACTAACCTACTTATAGCGAAAGTGAAATCAAGAAACAGAGAATTGATTGAATACCAGAGCGGAATAGATCCATGGCAGAAGAATTAGTGGAGGTCGTCGAATTAGCTGGGCCTTTCTTCGATGAAGCCCGACGCATCTTGAATAAATTATCAAAAAAACCGAATTTCGAAGAATTAGGAAGAAAAATCAATGATGGCGATGAGGATGAGGATGACGTAATGAAATCGAAGAGGCGATAACAAGCGGTGACGACTCGAGATGATCGGAAGGGGATTGGAGAAGGATGTGCTGCCGACGGTTGACTGCTAGATACGATGGTCGGTTGTGTCAAGGTCTTGGATCCCTTATTGGAATGTTTCAACAAATTATTTTCTTTTTTTCTTTTTTATTTTGTAACTAAAAACATTCAATTTTTTAAATTATTTTTGCAAAATACTTCAAATAAGTCGGGAGCCCGTTTGTCAAACGATTACTCGGGTAAACGAACACCAAGTCACATTATCTTATCGGATGAATATAGTAAGGACCAAGAATCTTACCCGGTAAGAACGAGAAAATGACCAAGAGTCTTATTGACTCTTACCACGGTAAGCGCTTACCGGGAAAATTGTTGCATATAATACCGTTTTAGTGGATTAAAATCTTACCCGATAAGTAAATTATAGTGTTAAATTTTACCATTAATTATTTACCGGGTAAGTGTGTGGTAAACGGCCCCTCAGTATCGAATAAGACGAACAAATAATCATACCAAGGATTTGAAATGTTTGATGTATTTAATTTGTTGGATTTGAAATAGAATTGAATGGTATTATCTACAAAAATAAATTATAAAAATAATTAAATTATCTTTTTATTTGGTTTCATTTTTATTATGGATCAGGTCTCTCATGTTAATAGTTGTTTAAAAACTCACTTAACTTAAAATATTTTTATGTTTTCGTTGTATTATGAAATTTGTAATGTTTTCAATAACCTGTTTCGCCACTTTGTAACACTAAATAATAAAAAACAAATAACACCCTCCTGTACGTCTTCCCCTCGTCACCGACCCCTCCCGAGTCCTCACCTCCGATCTGGTAAAACAGGTTAATTGGGAAGTATTGTATTCTTTTTTCTTTTTTATTATTGAGTTTTAGAAATTGACAAACAGGTTCTTGAAACAGTTACAAATTTCATAGTACAGTGAAAATATAAAATACTTCTAAGTTAACTGAGATTTTAAACAGCTGTTAACATGAGGGATCTGATCCATAACAAAAATGAAACCACAATGACCATCCCTGTAATTACTTGAGGGACCCAATCCACATTTTCGCCATACCACAGGGACGAAATTTGTAATTTACTCTATAAACTAATTTTAAGGTTTTGTTTGGTAAATTAGTATATGACTGATAAACTAGTTGATAGCTGATAACTAAGTCGATGATTGATTGCACGGATCACTATTTGTTAGTCTAGGCAAAACCCATCAACTCACTATAATAATAAATCACTTTCAAAAAATGGAACATAAAAAATGAAACATAACGATTGATGGAACCAAATCATGCTTTGATGAATATTTTGGTACTTGTATATTGACAGAGAACGTAAGGGCATGTTTGGTAACAACTTAATAGGCTTAATGGATATATATACCTTATTCGATAAGCCATGTCTAACTTATTATTAGGCCATTGGGTTTAATGAGCTTATTCGTTTAGCTAAGGGAGAGGCCATGTCACCACTAAGCCATCAAATTTCCTTTCACTGCCCTTCTCTCAAAACCCCCTTCACCCCAAATGTTGAACTCCTCCGGTCACCATGGATCTGCTCTTCTCTACCTTGACAGATCTCCATGGATCTGCTATCCATGTCCATCTCCTTCCTCTAATCGAATTTTTTTTTCCACCTATTTCAACAAGTTGAAAATGGTTTCTGGATCTTTGTGATTTTCACTTGAATCATCAGGACCAGTTCAAGATTTGATTGAAGCAAGTTCACGATCTGATTTATTTTCCAAGTGGGTTTTGAACAAGATGCGCACAACAATTTTCTTGTTCTTGGGTACTCTAAAACAGTAATCACGACTACAAATTCTAAGTTGGTTCTTTTCTTATGTTTGTTATTTGAAAATATTTTTTTTATCTGAATATATGCATCATTTTCTTATTTGAGTATTTGGGAAATGGATTGCACACCTAAAGGTGTTTGATGTTGCTACTGGTTTATTGTCATTTATGTAAATCTTTGTTGACACCATTAATGGTCTTGATGATGTTAAAGGTTCCAAAAATAATCTTCGGACAGATTCCTCCTTTCGTTCCTCAGCCTACGCCCTACGAGGTATTAGCAGCCGTTTTCAGTTGTTGTTCCCCTCCAAAGAAATTGAATTTTTTTTGTTAAAGAGTTTGGTGATAACTGATAAATAACAAAAAAAAAATATGGTACGAAATACAAGTTCATTCATATAATACAAAAGGTAAAATGATCATTTACATCATTCACATAATTTATTCAGTCTAATAAACAAACAACAACTTAACTTAATTCATTAAGACAATTTTATCTATATATACAATTTTATCTATATAGAACTTAACGAAAAAACAACCAAACCACCTTAAATATTGAATGCTTGGAAAATGTCAAAAGATGTGTCATATCTTCAAAATTAAAAATCTTAAAAAAGAATTATATTCAACTCTAATATTTTTTTTTTTTTGAAGATTACAACAACTATTTATCAATTATAATAAAAATAATTAACCTCCATAAAAAATAAAAGATAATGTCAACTACTTCATTGAAGTCCCATTTAGAAGCATTGCACCGGTAAGGTAAGTCATTGTAATCAAAAAGTCTTTGACCTAGTGGTATGTGAGTCATTGACCTTCTATGAGGGAGGTCAAGGTTTCAATCCTCATCAAAGGTGAAAACGATATGTAAAAAAGGTAAATCACTGTATTCGCCACGCAAATGAAAAAAACGTGTCTCATACAATTCTTCATTTAAACACCATTATTTAGTACACACGTACATAGAAACAAAAAGACAACTCTCTTTCTGTTAAGGACTTTATAATTCATGGCATTCGTGAAATCCAATTTATAATTCATTTATTCTCTCTCCATAACATATATATATACATATACATATGTGTAACTGTATATGCATACAATATGAATATTTTCTTAGGATTATTATTATAATTTGAGAACGCATTTAAAAAATATAAAATCTGGTAAAATTTGGGAACGTATTGTGAACACAAACTAAATCAATAAAACTAAAGCTAAATCTACCACTTAAGAACACTATGTAAATTTTATGAATACGTTGTGAAAACCATAGTAAAAGATTTCTTAAGATTGTTTACATTGTGTTCACAATATGTTCATATTGTGTATATATTAATACGGAGATAAGAGTAGGGGTGTAAACTAACGCTCGATTATTTTGTGCTCGAGCTTAATAATTACCGAGCTCGAGTCGATCTTGAACACAAAATAAAACTTGTTTAGCTTAACGTGTTGAGCTCCATAACACCAATGTTCGACTTAACTAATTCGAAAAATGGATTAAACTTTAGGAGTCGAGTCGAGCCATTCGAGCATATACTTTTTCGAGCCAAACATTTTTATATGCTTACAAATTATATAATCAAAATATATAATTATCGAGGTTGAGTAAATAAATGGGTTAATTAATCTCGAATTCGAGCTCATAAACGAGTATCGAGCTCGAACCCGACTTTGAAAAACTTAATTGAGGTTGAGCCTGCGATACTATTTTTTCTAGTCGAACTCGAATAACCTGCTACTCGACTTATGACAGAATTTTCTTTAAAATACATTAATTTTTGTTAAATAAATAATGATAATTATATCGTTGTATCTTATTAATTAATAACATTGATTATTTTAAATTAATGACTTATGATGGATTTCACAAATTTTAGAGTCCTCAAGCAATTAAACCCGTAAATATACACACATACATACACAAACACACACACACACACACACACATATATATATATATATATGAATTGTTATTTTTGAATTCTGATGAACTAAATATAAAATTTATATCTGATAATTAGAGGGAGAGAGAGAGAGAGAGATAGAAAGAGAGAAGGGAGAGAAAAAACTGTGTAATAAGCCGAGTTCTCACCATCTCAAAAACAATGTGTTCTCTATTTTTTATAAGGGTGAGGGTGTGCTTAGCGCCAAGGTTGGCTCTGTCAGTTCGGACACACACAAAATCTGTAAGATAAACTTCTGTGAGATGTTTGTTTACGTGTGCAAGTGTCACACCCCGCTAAAGCGGAAACACGAGATGTAACAGGTAAGCGAGTCACAGCAGCAGTTAATAAATAACACCTTTCAATATTACAAATTAAATTGAGTTTAACACCGATAACCAAAACGGGATAGTATACTTCTTTTACAAAAACTTCAAATGCGAACTTAATCGGTCTTGCCACAAGTATGCTCCCAAAATATTTCATTTCTTACTTATTACCTGAAAAGCATGGAACATAAAACAACGTCAACTACATAGAGTTGGTGAGCTCACGGGTTTTCACATGCACAAAATATTACAATGCATAAATTATTTATTTGCAAACTTATACGTAAACTATTGCACTTAATAAATGTAAATCTACCACGATGCTTAACTTGAGACGCTACTGAGCCTTACCTGACCAACGTGCCCCATTATTTTACGAACGACCATAAGTAGCCCGTACACTTACTTATGTCTCACAGTTCGTAGTAGTACTAATTCAGCGGTGGTCCAAATTCCACATGATTAGACTAAGAAAACATAGGTAATGTGCACCCCTTTCTGGGTGGGACTGTCAATACAATAGCGGCTATCCACAATACCACGGCCCGGGGACGTGCCCGAGTTAACAAGTAGCGTTTACGGACGGAGACTTTATTTGGAAACATACTCCCAAGCACATCAATTTAGCATTTATTTTATAGTGCAAAAACAGTCAATATTTCATGACATAATAAACTTGACTAAACAGTTCTTTAGTCCGATGGTTTCAAACAAAACTTGACTAAACAGTTCTTTAGTGCAATGGTTTCAAACAAAACTTGACTAAACAGTTCTTTAGTCCGATGGTTTCAAACAAAACTTGACTAAACAGTTCTTTAGTCCAATGGTTAAATAAATAAACAGCATAGTTTGTTTAATCTCATGCTTTTCCCCCAGTTAAATAACAAAAAGCATTAAAAAGTGGGGTCGTGAGAACTCACTGGTTTGAAGAGCTAAACGTCCGCCCTAACCTTCCTAAACAGACCAACATCCAGAAAATTAGATCACCTATGGGTACTCGACAAAGATAA